GTAAAAATACAAAAAATTTTTAAAACGATATTAAGAATTTACTCTGCTTTCATGGTACCAAGTCCTGATTCGCCGCTTCATATCACGTAACCCCAAGTGATCTCATCTCACTTAGACTACGCTACAAAAATCTAATTCTCTCAGTAATTATCTGCACTAATTTCAAGTTAAATCTTAATTTGGAATACAAGTTTAAGTGCAAGAATTATTTCAATTCGTACAAATAGCTTACTCAGAAATTATGTAAAACCGTAGTGCTTTACTTCGCCAATGCATGCTCATCAAAAATTATGAATTTAATCCTTAACTTTGCCTTTTCTATGTTTCCGCCATCGGGTGAGCGGTGTGATTGCATCCTAATTGACTTGATTACTGCGAATGGTCTTAGGGCATAACATTGAACTATCTGGTATAAATTCTATGTAATTGTATGCCAGTATTGAAAGAAACAATCCATCTGATAATAAATGGCTGCGACTTGTTTTGAGAATGAGGCGTAAAAGGTTACCAGCGAGGATATTCCATTTGGCATCGGTTGTACCATTTTTGGAGACTTTATCGCTTGCGCTGGCAAAATGGAAAAGTACCCAACGTGTTTGGTAGAAATGCTGAAATTGAAGAAAATGTTTGTGAGTATATGTGTGTAAAGTTTGAAGATATTGTTCGCAAAGCTCGCTTCATTAACTATACAGTTTTAAATTACTTTGAAGTTTGTTCGTATCTAAAGACAGTATGTTACTATTTCTCATGTGACCTCTTCTTTTTCCTTTAATGATCTTGTTACTGAATATTCTAAACTGGCTATAGAAAGTTCTGCAATTTAGAATGCAAAGTGTCACTTTAAAAAATCTACTATTCAATTTATTAATAATTTTCAAGATTTTTCTTGAAATATTTTTGAGCCGCAGTAGTCACAGTAGTGTGAAGATTTGACAGTGCCCTATTAACTACACTTGTGCTCAAAAAAGAAGCAACTGATGCTAAGAAAAATTGTACGAATGTAAAATTGAGATTTAAAGCACAAAATTTACATCTGAGTTAGGATTGCATCGCCGAAGGCTCAAGAGACAGCCCAAACTAGCATAAAACCAGTTGCCGCAGTCACACACTTAAAAAAGAGTATGCTAGAACCAAGCGTCAGTTCGAAAGCAGCAATATTTCCGTCTAAGCCGGGATAGTTAAAGCTGAAATCATGAGCCGAAGACACCATATGTATGATGGAATGCACTGCAAGTTGGTGCAAGACAATGCTGCGAGAGAGCTGACTGTGCAGAATATTATCACCAGCAGGTTGTGGAATCATTATCAAGAGGATCAGAACCTTACAGGAGATGATGGTCTGGACGCTGGGGAATTACCATAACGGGTAGACAATCTCTTCCTGTTGTTGTGTGTAAGATGCCGTAGATCACAAACAGCACGACAGTTGACGTCGCATCTCTCTGATGCTGCAGGGACGGCCTATATCCCGCCAAATTTTGTCACGCCGCCTACATAAAAGTGGACTGAACACTTGACAACCTGCGGTTTTGTTCCTTTGTCCTAATGGTATGTCAGAGCGCGGTTGAATTGGGCTCATGAACATCGTAGTTTTACAACACAGCAGTGAGGCCGCTTAGCCTTTACGGATGAATCTCGATTTAACATTCAGGACGATTACCGACTCTCAATGATATGAAGAGAGGCAAGAGAGTCACGCTGTCGGGTGCTAAACATCGTCGAAAGAGACCATTGCAGAGAATAAGGATTACTTATATGGGCTGGGATAGAAACGAACGGCAGCACCGACTTCTACATGATTCCATCACAGCCATCCGACATTGCGACAAAATTCTGCACTTTCTTGTGCGTAATTTTATCGTTGCAGTGGACACCCGACATGATATTTGGGGACAAGAACGCCCGCCCACATAGAGCCCAGTGGTGCGAAGTTACCTGGAGCGTGATACCATTCCACATCTGCCATGGCCTGTTACATCACCAGGCCTGAATCCGATAGAGCATACGTGAAACATTTTGGGACGATGGATAGCAGGTGACAGTGTGCCTCCAGGCACTCTCAACGAGCTCTGACATACAGTACAACAGGAATGAGCCCTACTACCACAGCAAGTGATCAACGACACAATTGCCAGCCTGTCCCGCCGTCGTTAAACAAACATTTCAGCTAGACGGTATGATACTCATTATTAGGGTGATGTTTCCATTGCACATTTTTCCGACCATTTTGTCTTTCGCGGTGTGATGGCCATAATACATGTGTTTTTGTATGTCTGCTTTATTGTTTGCTATGTGGTCTAGTAATGCCACGCCAACCTCTTCGATCATTTTCACGCACATCAATTAAATAGTTTTTATTTTATTCCATGTTTTGCCTTTTTTGCTTATTTTTAGTTTTTCAAAACTTTCTTACCCATAATTTGTTTAATATTTCATCATTTGCAAGAATTACTCACCGCACCAAGACATTTTCTCACCGATAGTTTTTTCGCTAATCTATATATTTCAAATGCCGCATCTAATTCCATTTTCGCTCGAAAAGGAAGCGGTAATGGCTACATGGTTCTGAGATCATGAACTGTATGTAATTACATTGTTTCCTCTGTAAAACATTAGAGGTGACTTTTAGTTCTAGATTCTCTCTCTCTCTCTCTCTCTATATATATATATACAAGATTTTTGTAATGATTTTCAGTATTTTTTATTTTTATATTATAAAGCATTTTTTGCTGCATCTCTTTTGTTTGACTGGTTTTTTAATTGAATTTTATAAGGTTTTAACTTCTAGTATTCACATTCAGCTTAAAATTAAAAAAATTTTTAAATTACAATTTTTTTCATTACATTGCTGAGGATTTGGGAAAAGTATGAGGGTATTGTTTTTATTTTTGAAAACATACTTGATCTAAATGCAAAATCAGGGTGACTTAACTATCAGAAATAACAGAATCGCTTTTAGAGGACTCCTTGATCCCCGTGATGAGTTTATTTCAAGAGTTTCTAATTTTTATAGCAATCATTGTTACAGTTTTTCCTTTTTTATTGAATTTCAAGTTTTAGACATACGCTTTTTAAAATCTATCATTTATAGAAATTTACCCCAAGGCCTTTTTCATCAAATTTTGTATCTATTATGAATTACATTTCACTAGCCATAATTTTACCTTAAATTATTTAATTTGAATTTTTCTAAGGCATATCCTGGAGAGTAGGAATGGGTTAGCTCAAATTACATTTTCCATTTTCTCGGCTGCTTTAGCTCTGGACTTTTATTTTGAATTTCCTTTTATAACTTTAAATGTTATACATATGTATAGTAAATTTTATTCTCGATTTTTGATTGGAGTAATGGTCATACTCATGTAATACTCGAAAAGAATCTTTTCAAAGTATGGGTGTGGTAAATATATACGTTTTAGGCTCAGACTTTCAAAGTAAGTTCACTATTTTTGTGTTATGTAGAATAGAATTTCTTACTTGCATTTCCAAAATACTTAATGATGTTCGGAAACAGTAAAAGGTGTCTTCTTAGACTTAACTAGTAAATGATCAGCAGTACAATGTTAGAGTTTATATTTATTAATCAAAACTTAGTGTAAGATTGTTATAAATGATGGGATTTGAATTTCCTTTTAAATAACACCTCACAGAGTCAGCAGTTTGATAATAAAAAACATTTTATTAAAATTTGTATCAAAAGTAACAAGAATTAGCTATTCTGACCTAACTTCTATTCTCAATACTGTTTGTTATTTTCAAGACATTGTATATATTTTTTAATTATTTGAAAATATGGTATTTAAAATCATCGTTTATACTTATTAATTATTTTTCACACGAAATTTAAAATTCTTTTTTTCTGCTGACTAATAGCTTTAATCATTAATAATGTTTTCTTATATCTCAGGTCTGTTAGAATAATAAAACTTGCATTTAGTTTTCAATCAAATTCCAGAAAATTGTATTTTGTGATAAATAATTGAAACTAGAGAAATTCATACTTCAGATGAATTAAACATTTGCCTTTAGCTACAGTCTTTAGGAATTATCTCTGTTATTTTTATTATTTTTAAGTTATTGTCTGCAGGGAACTATGAGAAATTTTCTCGTTATTTAATACGTTATAAGCCGATATAAGAGCTCTAAAAGTAATCAAGTAATGCAGACAAAACGCTCTCGTCTATGGTTACTGAAACACTTAAAATACCTTACTCTTTATTTCTGTCAAATATCACATTAGCTGGTATATCATTGATACATAAAAACTTTCATTTGTATTATGAAAATTAGTCGGAAACCTACAGTTTGATATGCTGCCATGACGTTGAAAGAATTTTCTACCTTTCTGAAAGTTCTATTTTAATTTTTGAAGTTATATGGCAGATTGTAAAACATTAACTGCTTGCATAAAAATTGGAGAATATTTTATAATTCTTTAGAATATTTTTAAAACTTAAATTAACTAATATTCATTTTGCATAGAGATTCAGAAATATTTAGCATCGGAATTATAATCAAATTCGTTAGTCAATTGTAAAGGACAAGTTCTATTTATCTTTTCTTTTTAAGTAAAATATCCATAAAGGTTTTAAAAACCATGCTAATACCAATAAAATATAAAATATAAAACAAATATGTATTAATTATTAAAATGTATTTCGTGAAGCTCTCAAATATTTTAATGTATGAGCTAGAATCTGTATTTGTTTTGATAGTAATAAATGACATATAATAGCATGAATCTCATTCCAGTGATTAATCGGAAAAACGAAGACTAAATGCAAATATTATAATGTAGAGTGACCTGCTAAGCAATATCCTGCCGAGTATCCTGCGAAAGGTTTATCAGATTTGCAGGTTTGTATGTACGCATAATGCACAAAAAAGGTATAGAATTAAGTGCGATCTTTCTGTGTTACTTAAAAATCAGAATGTTTCTGAAAAGAATACGTGTTATGAAACGTGTATGAATAAGAGTAATAAAAGCGAGATATAATAGATAAATTTCTTAAAACATTTATTAAGTTTTAAATCATCCAGAAATACGAATACATTCATTGAGAAAAATGCGTTTTTCTAGGAAATAACACTTTTTAACATCTTTATCATACAAATGCAGAACATATTCCACAAATAAGCACTCAAATAATTAAATGTAAAATTTCCATGCTCTGTTATATGTTGATCGGGTTTTCTCCCACAAGCTATTCCAAAATTTGTTAGAAGACATACGGAAAGAACGAATGGATTGTTTCATTTTATAAACTCTCTGCAATCCTCACCTAATGCAAAGAAATACGCTTTCACTAATTTTGCATTAAACTTATCTACATCTATATGTTAGCTGTAAAACTGAGAAAAAACAACAGTCAAAGCATTGTTTATTACGTTTATGAGGATGTATATATTTTAAGATTTTATTATTATTTGAAGATTTATTACTTAATGATTTCCTTAACATGTCTGTTTTCTTTAAACTTTTTAATTTATTTTCATTTCACTTTCCTATCCATTCTTCTTCCTGTATCTCACTAAATCCAGAATTATGAAAAAAGTAACTAAACAAAAGACAACATAGCAAGGAGTTCTGTGTTAATTTAATATGCATTGATTGACTGTTTCGTTCTCTTGAACTAGAATTTAATTACGATTCTCATTTTACTGTTTATATTACTGGAGGAGGAAAAAATATTTGCTAAGTTTGGTAGAAATTATATTTTGAGAGGTCGATGTGAGTTAAGATTCTTTACCTGAGCTAGGCCATTAAAGTGAGATCCATAATTAAATAAAAGTTAACTACTTCACTGTAAAAGTTCTGTTATTGTAATAAGAAAACTCATGTCATCTGTGCATCATTGAATGTTTGAGTAATCATTAACAAGGGTACTGATTGTAAACTTGCCGGATTTATACCTTTAGATGTTACAGAAGTTTGTCTGTAATGCTACGGGACAGGAGCATATAAAGGAAACATACGTTTCGTATATGAAATACCAAAAGATGTACATACAGATATTTTTCTTTAAATAATTATGTAAGCAGAACATGTTTTTATATGTGGGATAACAAAAGATGTATTTGTAAATGTTGCGGATATTTTCCTTACAATATTCCTCGAAGTAATTATGTGTGTGGAACATATCTGTACTATATGGAAGTCCGTATATTATTGTCTGTAAAGATCGTTAACTAGATCTTTAGCTTGTTGTATTAAAGATCTTTAGCTTGTCATATTATTTCAAGTAATATTCTTGATAGGATTCGTCTCTTTCATGTGAAATTTCACATGCTATATGAAAGAAGTTCTTCTTCCCTTTAATTCTAGTACTTGTAATAAAATCTACAGAATTCAGTATTTTTGAAGAGATGAACGGAATGTAGATGTAAATAAAGCAAACTTATTAATGTAGTCAAAATTTAACCTCAGATAGGCGTTTATTTGTAACAAACTGTACAATTTGAGAACACTTAATGCATAACGGCTGAAGATAATACTGGTATTTATTTTTACATTCATGGAAATTTACTCGCATTTTCACTTTTGAGTGTTTATAATTGAAAACGGAAAGTATTTTGTTGATTTTAAAAATCTTTAATACCGCAGTATGATTTCAACAATAAAAAATGAGTTAAAATTGCAGGGAAGACGAAAATTTTGCGTTAGAAATAAATACATTGATTAGTGATTAATTTCTATAAAAATTCATTATTATAGTGTTATTCTAATGAAAGAAAAAATAACGAAAATAAATTATCATATAGTAGAGTTTCGGAATTTTTTTCTATTTACATTAAATTTCTCGTTCTTCAGTAAGTACACTAACTGAAAATTAACAACGTCGAAAATGAAATATATTAATTAGATCAGCAAATTTAAAGTATTGCCCTGCAAGTTTCTTTTAATTTAACAACACTGAGGAAGTTATCGATGATTTTGTATCATGTATAGTACATTTTGCATCATGTGTAAATGAGTTTTAGTGTTGCACTTCACCACCTCCTCAAGCTGTCTCAAGAGATGTTAACATGCATTTCTTGAGGCAGTTAAAAGATATGAATAAAATTATATAAAACATAAAGCTTTAATTTAAAAGATTTTTATTATTAGTTTTATTTCTAGTATATTGCATGAGGAGAGGATTGATTCATTTTCAGTTTTAAAATAAAACATTTTTATACGTTTATCACAACAGTCAAAGATACCTGCAGAAATTATTGAAAAATATTAATAAAGGTTAATGAATTTCCAATTATTAATAAAATTTTAGTGGTACTTTTTAAATAATATTTTACATATTACGTACTGTGTGGGACTTAAAAATGAACTTAAATTTAGAGGATTAAGCTTACTACGTCACTGATTTCTTTTAGTGTGTAAACGATTTTGAAACTTATGTATGCTCCAATCAAATAATGAAAATTTATATACAAATTCTAAGTAGTAAATACGCGTACTAATATACATTTGGCTCACAAGTTTTAAGTGATTTTCATATGCACCACTTGAATCTTTCGTTTTCACAGTAATCAGTGGAAAATGTAAATGATTTTTAACTATCGAGAACGGCAAATATCATAAATTACCTTACGAAATACAAAGAGTAATCAACAGTTAGCACCAGCACGGAGCAGAATAGTAGTTATGTATGAAAACATTTTTTTACAAAGAAAAATTTGCGCAGGTGCTTGTTTTCGTTGAGATAAAATTGCGGCCCGCGTTTAATAGTTCTAATTGCTAAAATAACATTAGGCCGAAACATTTAACAAGAGAATTTTTTAAGATATGCTTATAAAAACTACAAAAATTATTTTGAAATATTTTGGTATTAAAATTTAATACGATGCAAAAATTGTCATATTAAATTTTTGAATTATATTTACAATATACTGAAAGGAGCATTTCGGAGTGAGTATAGAACACTGGCGTGTTCATTTCAAATTATTAATGTATGCATTACTAATTGAAGTAATTAAGATCTCACAATCGAAAATAAAAATTTTAGGAGATCATTGACAAGTGTAAGTATCATTTTCATAGTGAATGAGATTTCATTAATTTTGATTATTTCCTTGAAAATGAAAGAAATTTTTGCTTAAATTATCTGCATTCTGCTTCCTAAAATTGCTCGACAAAACGCTTATAACATATCCTCAATTACTTTACCATGTCGCAAAACTCGAATGATAACTATGTTTACTTGCCTTATTATAACATAATTATAATTATTATGAAGCATTTTTTTAGTTTCTAATCATATCCTAGATTGTAAAACCGAACAATATTTGCAATTTTCCCTTTAGTTTCATTTATACTGTTAAAATTTAATAGAAGACTAATATTTATACATATTTTCAAAATTTAGTGGCTCTCTGTTTTTTTCCCTTACAATTCTCATAAAGATCCTTTCAAATATTTTGCCAATAAATACGCATGGCTTTATCGGAATAAAATTACATTACTTGGGTCAGAAATGGTTTGGAAATTTAAAATTACAAATACGTCACATAAATTATTTATGAAAATCACACGATTTACTACTGAAATTGAACATACATTGATATATAAGACAACACAAATTAGTTCCAAAATTAATAAGCATTAATTCATCATAAATTCAAATTGAATTCACTTCTGTTTCCAGTTCAAAAGATTAACAACGATTAAAGTGCGCAAAAATTTTCGTGCAGATTTTTATTATATACTTAAAATAAAATTTTCCTTTTTTACTATTGATGACTAGTTTGACCGAGTGCTCCCTCATTTCTGTTTACATACTAATCTCCCATTTTACAGAACTGCTTTTTTCATTTTCTAATGTCTACTAGCTGCGTAGAAAGAAATGATTGCGATTCCGTCGATGCTGAACTTTTCTTTAAATGAGCACAAGTTTTATGAGTGCATTCACTTAAATCAATATCATCAGTTTGTGAAGCAACGTCTACTAAGGCTACACCACAGTCTCCAAGCAGACCGCTATCTCCTAACAGACCAGAGCCCGTACTGGTGACTTGATTCCACAGCTCACCTAGAGGCGTTATATGAGGTTGAACTTCCAACTGACCCTCAGACAAGGGTCTTCGATCGCTGGAAGATCTTTCCAATTTTCTTTTATTTTCTTGGTACCTTTGAGAACTCCTTGGATGTCCAACTGGTTCTAGAGGCTCATAACCATAAATTGCAGCATTGAGAGAGAATGTTGAGCCTCTTAATTTGTAAAGTAGCCCCCTTGAGTTCTTTTTGACTCGAGGGATCAAAACGTACGAATTACTTGTCCGTAGTTCACTGAGTGACTGACTAGTAGGAGAAATTGAAGGTGACGGTTGCATAGAAGCAGTCTCCGGTGTTAAAGATCCTATGCCATCAGTCGATTTTGTGAAACAGTCTGAAGGTGAAACTCTTGAAGGTAAAGGAAGTTTTGAAACAAACGATTTTTGTGATGCTTTAGGACTCACCGAATTCTCACGAGAAAGATGAAGATCAAGATATACAGCAGAATCTGGAGTTATGTCTTCTGTTCCACATGCAACATTAACATGTCCATTGGAATGATTATTATCTGTTGTATTATGCAGATTTAAATTCAGAGATAACCTACCAGATGATGCTCGCTTTACAATGGGAGAAACACTTCGCAACATTACCTCATGACCTTCTACACTAGATGTTTTGTCATCTTCAGTTTCACTGCGATAAGCAGAGCAGACATTCAAAGATGCAGGCGTGGTGCTTGTAGGAGAAGTCTGCATTTCTTGAGAAGAATTACTGTTTAAGAAAAACGTAACATCGAAACTGTTGGCTGCACTTTCAGAACTGCAGGTGCTTCCATATTTTCGAGTGTGAAAGTCAAGTGCACTACTCGAGAGTCCATTTCGTAAATTTACCACATTGCTGAGTTGATCGGAAGATACGTCAGCACTATAATCTGTTGTTTCTATTGATACGCGGCTCATTTTTCGAAATCGTCTTTTATAACCAATCTGAAAGAAAGGAGACAGGGTACTTTGCACTACATCTCCTTCAAGCAATGAATGGAAACTAGATCCAACATTTGCTTTTGTTGAATCAGCATCTTCTAAACTGGTGTCCACTTCTTCTTGTATGTGGTCATCTTCATCACTCATTTCCATCGGTTGCTCAGGATCGTTTTCTCTTCGAAATCGAATGAAACCGTTGTCTTTATAAAGCATAGAAGCTGGCCGAAGACTGTTCCGCCCATCAGATGAAGAAATAGTTTGGTTGCAAAGGGTCCTCTCCAAATCTTCCAGACCTTCGTTTGTCGACAAGCTTAGAGTCCTCTTTGACCTAAAAAAATTAGAAATTATTATTAAGTGCATGCCAGCGTTGATATTAAAGAATATAAAAAAATGTAAGGTATGTTTCTAAAAGGCCACTGCTTTGCTTCTATTGTTAAAGTTTATAAATAATTTCAGTATCAGTTACTGTTATAAATTTCCACACATATCATCAATACACTTCAAACGAAAGTCTAACGCTCGCCATAGAGGTTCTTTGCAGTTCTATAGAGATCAAGTTTGTAATTACATGGATTACGTTTGTAGTTATCTAGAGGTTCAGAAAACTAACTGCTCCAGCTAAAACTATTCTAAGATAATCACTTCCGGTTTCAGGCAGTTTTAGCAGTAGTTTTAGGCTTCTGCGGAGACGATTGTCTTAAATAACGATCTGCCAATCTTGAATTTTCAGCATTAAAAATATATAGATGACTTTGCTCTTCTACAAGTACACAGCGATTAAAAAATTAGCTGCAAAACTTCTCTGATAAAAAATATGTACATTATTAATGATATTAATCTATTTTCAAGAATTTTAAAAGGATGTAATTCCGAGTCCTCACATGATCGATTTTTGAACAAAAATATGAAATTTTTAACAAAGAGTTGCATACATAACATTAATTTGCATGTATTTATTCATGTACGAGTTCATTCGATTATATTTTTTGTATGAGTTATGGTTAAAAAAATAATTGTTTTCAGTCACTGTCTGTTCATAATTTAACAACAGCTCGTGTAAGAAAATGCATATTCTTTTTGTAGGTACGAACCGGATTAGCGATGCTGAAAAACAATGAAGTAATTTAACATCTGAAAAATGAGGCCAGACTTACGCGAATATCTGAAAACCGCTTTCTTCTGAGAAGATGTTTCGTACTGAACGATCACGCCGTACAAATGATATACGTTTCTTATGCATCCGGTGATAATGTATTAAATGTCTAACACAGTTATGGTACACTGAATAAATGATCAAAACAATAATACATTTTACAAGGGTTAACATAAAACTGAATTGAATCAGCGTGAGCAAGAATTGCAAAAAACTGCAATTTTTCGTACGAAACGCAGATCAACTGTGGCAACAGTTTGCTTTTGTACGTAAAGTGGAAATCCTGTGATGATTTTGGTTCAATGAGTATGCAGGAAATTTATAAAACATTGAAGAAAACAGTTCAATAAAGTAATGACGACATTATTTACATCTAATAAAATATTATAAACTGTATAGCTAAATATATAAGCAACTGAGTGCGCAGAATAAGCTGTATGTTTTTCAGACCGGTCTGGAATCCATATATGTGAAACCTTCTCTGTAAGAGACGTATTTTTAATTGACAGCTATAATCGATTTGCTTATTAGTTTTATCCTATTGGTTTCAGTTAAAATTATTGAAGTAAAATTGTGGTAGATGTATTGATTAATAAAATTACGTATTAAACAATGAAAATGTGGCAACAGAACAGTAAGCTTAAAAAAATCTGAATTATTAATGTTTTAGTAATTAAAAATTAATATTTTCTCATTAAAATATTCAGATAATGAAATCAGCTTAATTGGTGTTTTCTTTCTAAAAGTTTGAATTTCACAAAATAAATAACCCTCTACATATTTCTAATGTTTCAATATGTTTACAGAATGCAGAGCTTCAGTTATGAGAATAGCATGGATTATTTGCCCTTTTTCTTTCAACAGAAGTTTTTGAGCTTGTTAAAATAAAGTCAGTGATGAGCATTTTAACAATGTCTTTCGCGTGGTTGATCTTTAGCGCTTAAACATTTGCTAATTTGCCAATTTATAAATAAGGATAGTCGACTGCAGTGATGTCAAAATCAGAAATGAATTATTTTGGCACAGCTTGGACATTGAATTGTGACGCATTACCTGCAAAGCAGACAAAAAAGTGAAGTGAAAGAAAGAAAGAAAATGAAATGTAAAAAGATTATGAATGTAATGAATAACTTAAAGGCAGATATATCCTAACCGCCAAAATTAACCTAGATGAGACATATAAAATTAATGATTTAGGAATGCTTGACTTACTGTAAGTGTAAGAATAAGAACGGATTCTCACGACAACTCCTTGATTTATTTAGTTTGTAAAATTAGTTTGATGTCAAATTTGAAATTTTACTGTATACTTAATACACCAATGCACCAATAAAATTCATTCTTAATAAATAAAATAGTAGTCTTTCTTCCGCCTGTTCATTTATTCTTTATTTCAACACAACCTCTTTCGTTATTTTAACTGAAAACTGTGGCGGATACTTCTGTTGTATTCAAAACTGAAAAAAAATATTCTTAAACGTATTTACTGGAAGTAATTAAGTACGCTGTACCGAGCTAACTTTGTTTAGAGCATTAAGAGGTTAATACCTAATTGACCGTCTCATTCGGGTTGAGGAGCCAATCTCATTAGAAAATACTATCATCACTATCAATACTGATGTTTATTTAAAGTCTCAGAATTAAGAAGCGTGTAAAGATAGTTAGTGTTTCAGTGGTTTGGATTAGATTTACTTCTAACTCTTAGTTCCTTAACTTTTAATGTCTCAACCTGTGACCAACAGGTACGAACACTGGACATTGGTAATTCGAGATGGTTTCTAACCCAGGAGAAAGGACTAACTGTATAGTTGGCTATCTTGTTTTTCTCAAAATGTTTAACGTAAATATTAAACTATTTTCTTTGAAAGTCTTTGATGAAGGCATCTCTATCTTTAAAGTGCGCACCAGCGACCCAACAGGACAGGAATAAGTGTGAGAAACACCAATACATCGCCATTGGCAGAACTGGTGTCGCTCCTCCACACTAACCGTCTTGAGAAGAACACCTCCACAGGACGCACTTACGCCACGCATCGGTGTTAATTAAAAAGTTATCATTAAGGCATACAGAACTTGTGGTACAGAGCATGGTCGGGAGATACAGTTGCTGATTAAAGTTATAAGGTATTTCTCCCGCCTTCATAGCATGCCTTCGCAGTGTAGTAGTCAGCACTCTCGACGCAAATTCGAGAGGTCCGTGTTTCGAGTCCCGGCGAGGGCATTACTCAATTTTCAAGTCTCTCCCATCAAAATAAAACATAATATCTCTGCAGTGGCGCCTGGTCTAAAAGGTGATTCTTCACCACCAGGATTTGGCTTTTGGGTTCCCTAAAATCCCAGTCGCTCTTTAAAAGGGGGAGTATATAAGGTATTTCTACCGCCTTCTTAGCTTGCTTTCGTGTAGTGGTCAGCACGCTCGACGCGAATTCGAGATGTCTGGGGTTCGAGTCCCGACGAGGGCATTGTTTATGTCTCCGCATCAAAATAAAACCTAATATCTCTAGAAAGTCACTGAATCTGAGTGGATTAGCTGAATAATTTGGCCCGACTTCGAATCCTGGAAACGGACTATCTGCATGAGCGTTTTCGTATTTTTCTTCATGCATAACGTGGATGTGAGTCAAGTTACCTTGAAAAGTTCTTACAAAGGCATTCTATCCCTATAAGCAGATAGCCTTCGAGTTGCTTTACCTTAATTAATTAACGTAATCTAACTAAACACTTCCCTTACAGATACAGTCCTTGTGTGCTTTGCTTTGTTCAAATAACCTCACCTACTTTTAATGAGTTCGAAATTCAGACAATAATTTAATTAATATAGAAGTTTATAAAGTAGTATATCTTAAAATATTTAAAATTTGAACCGGTTTTATTAGTTAAAAGTTAACAGTAGTACTATGTTTTACAGTCAGACAGCCAAAATATGAATTGGAAACAAGGGTTTTCAATAACATAGTAACTTAACGCTTGAAGCTACAGTTTTAATTGGGCTTTCCTCTGTTCAGATGTTACACCAGTTAAATTGACCTATCTTTTTCAATCAAATTCCGATTGATTGCTAATTGTTCAAAACAAGAGATATAATATTACATATCACTATGTTCTCCAAACAGCAATGTAAGTCTTGACAATAGCAGATATGCTGAGATCTCAGTTAATCAAATCACTTTAGCAAGTAATCAAACATACTTAAATTCTCTTCTTTCGCCCTGTTTATTTAGCCATGAATTTTCATGTATCCAGAAGGAAAGAGCAAATCGGAAAACAGGCGGAATATGAGAGAAATCTAAACGAATAAGAAAAATAAAAGTCTGCTGCAGCGACAAAATGAAGTACTTCAAGTATAGGACATATGATTATAAATGCAAGAATACTTTGCTTATGTATTCAGTTATTCATGTTTTATAGTACTGTGCTATTTAATAGGATAATAAATTCTGTGCTTGGTAAATCTCTAAAAAATCATAAACTTTTAACTATGGGCATACGTACTCTAACAAACGTCGTTTTAAATGTTAAATACCAAGAATATGTCATTTGATCTAGAATGAGTAAAAGTTAAGCATAAACCATAGTAATAATTTTGGAAAACAATCATTCATCATAATATATTAATTGATATGAGAATTAAATTACAATTCTCTTTCGAATGAAATGCAAAATGAGTTCATGTTTTTATGAAATTCTTCAGTGGAATTTAATGTGAACAGGGTCTAATTGTTATATGTACACTGCGAAAAAAAAAAAAAGAGGGGGGGGACAATTTTATATCTCCCGTTCTACTGGGGCGACTGACGAAATTCAAATTGCGTTTTTCATGTTTCCAAAACGCAACTTAGAATATGTATTAGATTTATATATAGCATTGTTATAATACAGGGATTTGGACACAAAATAGGTCTTTCACTAAAAAAGGCATACCATTTTTTTCCATATTTCGATTCTACGACTCAAATTATGCCAAACTCCCAAGTTTTGTAAAAATTGCAAGAGTGTTCGTCCTGACCGTCCCTTTTATCCAATAAATATGTAATATTCAACAGGGAGATTGTAAAAGGTATATGACCTCTATCTAACATCTATTATTATAACCATAAAATATAATCCTACACTGAAACTGTTCATTTACTAAAGTGTGCTTAATTACGTTCGCTGAAAGCTCTTACGTAATAAGA